AACTGGTCCGGGTGGACTATTTGGACCTGGCAACAAAGGACCCGGTCAAAACCGGCCAATTGACCCGGCCCATATATATTTTTATATCTCTTTTTGTTTTTAGAAATAAAACTATGTATGTATGTTTATATGATAACTATTTATCATGAGATACATATTAATAACACTTTAATGTACAAATTTTATACACAAAACATTTAATTTTTATTACTTTTAGTTATATTTATATGACAAAAATACTCTATATATAATTTTAAAAATTTTATAATTAATTATCCGATTCAATAATTGACCTGATGACCCAATGATTGAACAGGTGACCCGGAGACCTGCCCAGATAGATTACCGGGCCGACTTTATATCTATGGTTACATTACATAATACATACATAAATATACATACATATATACATACATACATAAACATACATACATATATAAACATACATACATACATACATACATATATACATACATACATGTATGTAAACATGTGGAAGACATACTCATACATCCGCTGAGTATATATTTCCGTATGTTCTTTCCCCTCCGTATGGCAATAAATCAAGAAAATCATAGAAAATCAACAGAGAATCATTTACATTTCCCTGATTCAACAAAGAAATCACATTTCCAGAATTAGTTCCTGCAAATTTTCTCTTTCCTCTCCAATTCCTCTTCCAAAACCCTATTTCGCGACTGCTATGAACGGCCCGATCTGACCAACTTCCGCCGTCTTGATAGAGGTGATATATTTTTTTTTAGGCCCGATCTGACCAAGCTTTCAATAGCCACTTGATTTCAGGTAACGCGATTTTCCTACAGATTGTTATTATTATTATTTATTTATTTTTTTGGTTCAGATGCGATCTAAGTAAGTTCTGCTCATTCTTGCTTATGTCGCTTCTTCCAAGTTTATGCTTTCTGAATTTGGAGATGGTTTAGATTTGGGCTTTTGGTAGATTATTAATGTGTATGGAAGTTTTCAAGTTGTCTTATGCTTGCACATGTGTTGAACTTGAGTTTCAGTGTGTTTCTTGATTAGAAAAAAAAAAAATGAAGTTAATACTAATCACTTAAAAACTGTAATGCAGGATTCTGATAAGAAGTTATACAATAAGTAGACAAGTAGAAATCACGGTACAGTGTTATGGTCTTGTATTAATGAAGTCTTCAGAGACGATATTGTTTATTGGGTTTGCAAGCGAAATAACTGCTCAAATTGTTTGGGCTTAAAATAACTTGGCGGAGGATGTGGTCTTTTTTGGTTCTTTTCAGTTTTACAGTGTTGATCTTGAAGAATGATAATAATGTTTCAATATTCTTGTGTAAATATATGTTTTAGTAGTTTGCAAACTGAACAGCAACGCATTACTTCTATAGTTTGAGGGATCAAATGATGCATTTTATGGTCTGTGGCTGCAAATCGACATAGCATGTTTAAAAGAACACAAACTATTATTTACCCCTAATCAAACGTAAGGCAAGTATCTTATCATATACTCAAACACCCTATCATCACTGAGAGTTCTAGCTCAGGTGTTAAATAGGAGGCATTGCTTTGGGCTCACTTCTAGGCCAGCCTTCTTCATTCCCAACTCATCATTTATTATTATTTTTTTTATGTGGAGTCTGTGGAGATAGTTATTTACTATATGCTTCTCTCGTTGAGTATCTAACTTAATATCTGTGAGTGCTAAGAGTGAAATCTTGAATGACCGTCATGGGGTAATTTGCTTTCGTTATTACATGATTTTTACTATGACTTATTTGCCCTTTGCTTGATTGGTGAGGTTTCTTCTGTGCTCTGGATCTTTTTCATTGTCTTTAGGGGTAAAAGGAAAAGGGAAAGGAATTCCTTTCTGATTTTGTCAGTTTTCAACTTGCACACACATCTATTACCTTTCCCAGATTCTTGTTATTTATAAACTTCTGGTGCTTTTCCCAATTTATTTGGATTTTAATCATTATCTTGCTCCAAGACTCCAACCTGCATGCAGTTTCTTGCTTTTTATGCGATCTTCATTGGGCCACGAAGACTTCATCTGTTTTTATCTGTTATGTTTTAAACGTTGTCATTGGGTGGTGTTGGGGTTTAGTTTCTTAATTATTACTCCATCAAGTTTAAGATTGTGTTTTCATTCTTATGTAGTCAGGATGTCTGAACTCTGATATGATATAACATATAAGTTTCTGATATTTGGATTTTTCTTTCTGTGAATGAATTTCTTCCATAATTTTAGATTTTCTCTTCTGATATGATGTTTTTTTTGTTAGGTTCAGTGGTTTCAGGAGTTATTTGGTTGGCACAACTTGATCATGTTCACCACTAATAACCGTCAGGGGGAAAGTGTTTAATTTGCTTTGATTTGTTGCGACAATTTTGGATGATTGAATCGGCTTTGCTAGTCGCATAGCATAGCCAGCCTTATATCCTCTCGAGACATGTCAGCTGCCGATTTATCCAAATACGAGCACAGTTCTGTCCACAAGGCCATAATCTTGAAGGACTATGCCGGCCTCCGAAGAATCATTGCCGGCCTTCCCCGCCTTTGCGATCCATCCGAGATTCACTCAGAGTCTGTTTCAGTGGCTGAGGAATCCAAGGCAGAAGTCATAGCCTCTGTAATTGACCGACGTGATGTTCCCAACCGAGACACCCCACTTCATCTGGCTGTTAAATTTGGTGATGAGACTGCCACGGAGATGCTTATGCTTGCTGGGGCCGATTGGAGCCTGCAGAACGAACAGGGCTGGAGTGCACTGCAGGAGGCTATATGTAATAGAGAAGAAGGGATTGCAAAAATCATTGTCCGGCACTACCAACCATTGGCCTGGGCAAAATGGTGCAGGAGGTTGCCCCGGTTGATAGGTACGATGAGGAGGATGAGAGATTTCTATATGGAGATTACTTTCCATTTCGAGAGCTCGGTCATCCCGTTCATCTCGAGGATTGCCCCATCTGACACCTACAAAATCTGGAAGAGGGGCGCCAACCTGAGGGCGGATATGACTCTGGCAGGTTTCGATGGTTTCAGG